TTTTTAGTAATATATGTATATATATATATATATATATTACATACGATATATAAACATGAATAATATTATTTTTGTAGATGGAGGGAATTTAGAATGGTCATAAGTTGATAACCCCATAATACAAATGTGTTTGAATTATTTCTGAGGAGAGAAATTTTGGTTATTTAACTAGTAAAGAAAGTATTTACTAAAATGTAATGGTCATTAGATTATTATTTCTTTAAAAAAAAATTTTTCTTAACCTTTTCAGTTGGACATATACTTTTCTGTTCATTCTAGGTGATTTTTGAAGGACCCAAATCAAATATTACAGATACCGTTACTATTGCTATTGATGACATTTCATATACTGAACAGGCTTGTGAGAAAGGTAAAGGTTACCAACATGATATTAAGAAGAATTTGAAAAATAGATTATAAAAATGTACTTAGTAATGTGTTTTATATTACATGATCTTGATTTTTATATAATGGTTTTATGCTGTAATACATCGCTATTACCCTATCTTACCTGCCACAAATAGGGCTGTATTCAGCCATTCCCAACGTCAGTATTGTTTGATGTTTTATTTAGCCAGTAAAAGTAAACTGACATAACTGGAACTGTATTCAGCCATTCCACAGGTAGGTGCTGTTTGGTGAGTTATCTAGCCAGTAAAATTAACCTGACACAACTGGAACTGTATTCAGCCATTCTACATATAAGTGCTGTTTGGTGAGTTATCTAGCCAGTAAAATTAATAAAGAACCCCAAACACTGTAGACACAGCCAGAAGTATGTAATAAAGTGATTTCATTGTTCTGACATGATAACATCTAATGCTGCATTATTACTATATGTCCACACAGATAAAGTTAATTTAAAAACGTTTGATATCCATAATCGTCTTGTCTTTTCAAATAAATTGATACTTTAGGAAAATTTGATAAAGAAAGAAGAATAGCAAATGTAGCTTGAGAGACTTTCAGTGCCAAAGAAACTTATATGGATTTCTATGTAAAATCTGTATCAACACTGGCATTATCTTATCTTGCATTATGTGTAATAATGTGACTTTAAAATAATCACAGGTAAACATTAATCTGAAACCTGTGATACTGTTTTACTGCATAAAGGCTAAATTCATTATTCTATTAACAGCATGATCATTAAAAATAACATTTTAGCATTAGCATGTAAATAGAATGATGAACTAAAGCAGTTTTGGGGGTCAAAGACTTCCCACATATGTGTGGGTAGTCTTTGTACTTGGAAACAGTATGTATTAACCATCCTTTAGTAATCTCAGTTTATCATCCTGAATTTCTAAATATTGTCTTATTTCATTAAATTATTTTGTTTTTTGTGACATGCTAAAAGGCATTTACCATTGTTTTTCAGATTCTAGAACAGTCAACTGTTCTTTCGATTCTGACATTTGTGGATGGAGTTATGAAAATCAAATTCCAATGCATTGGTTGAAAACAAGTAGCATAAATAATCCAGTTCCTCCATTTAATAGTCCAGCAAATGGTGAGTTTTTCTGTTAAGAAACAACTAAATCAGCAACATGTCCTTGAGCCAATAGATAGCTTTCTTTTAATGCCTAAGAAACAATTAAAACTAGCATTAGAGGAACATGCACAAAACAGTAGTAGATTTAGTAATTGTAGACTGTTTTGTGGAATGTACTTAATAAAACTGACCCTAGGAAAATGCATGGAAGGAGAAGAGAGCATCGTGAGACATTTTCCATAATGCCTATAAATATATGTTCAATTTATTTCTGTATCCACACAAGATATAGATTATATTTTATTTTGACTACAATGAAATGGCAGAGATAATAAGTCAGTTTAGTGAAATAAATTATTGCAAATCTATATTGTACAGTAGCAGACTGATGGTATACATCTTTAAGATGTGCTCCTTCATTACTCTCTGGATAGCATGCATGTACTCCAGACTCTTTTGAAGATCATTTTTGAAATTCTGGCCTCATTTCATGCTTTTGAACCTCGTGAAATGAACACTATTATGTTTTTATTTTTTAGAATTCCTCCATAATTATTTCTTCTTACAGAACTAATGTTTGTTAAATGTCCAACACCTGGATGTGGAAAGTAATATTCTAGTGATCCTAGTTTTAAGTAATTAACATTACTGTGTAAAGGTTTAAGTCAGGTGATGGTATTTTTAAGTCTGAAATAGTTTTGAATTATTTGAAATCATTCTGATTGATGATAAGTTTGTAGCTTTTGAATAAGATTGTATTACAACCTTTTTTCAGGACATTCTTATATGTATGCTAAGAAGCTGATCAGAAACTATAACAGAGGAGAGAAGGCATCATTGACATCACCACCTATACTCAATAATTCCCCAGGTGAGAAGTTCTGTCTCACCTTTGTGTACTACATGTATGGAGACCTAATGGGCCAACTAAATGTGTACATAGTGAAGAATGATACAGTTGATGCTCCTGTCTGGACCCGATCTGGTAATCATGGAAACCGTTGGATTCAAGCTTTCATTCCATTTTCACTTGACATTGCTGGGAGGGTATGCAGAATTGTTTTCTCATCTTTGTTGTTGATGTTATTCCTTTAAAACAGTGGTTTTAACCTTTTTGGGAAGCTGCACCCATTCCGTTTACAGAATATGTCCTCACACCCCTTGCCTTTCAGGATTTGCTAATACTTCTCTCTTACATTTAAATATATATCATCTATAACCAGTAGAAAGTCAATGTTTCCATCTATCAAATGATGTGTTATATTACATTGTGTTCTGAACAGATAGATGTCAATATCAGTTATAACAGAAGCTTTATTCCCTAGCTTGGGAGAATTTGTAATGGCTAGTGTTGCATAGTTAAGGTTGAAAACTATAGAAAGTTTACTATCAGTTTGCTATTAAGTGATCTCAGGAGTTCGAGGAAGAAACCTTATTTGTAATGGAAACACCAACATGTTTCACACCCCCAGAAATGGCATTTTGCACCTCTAAGAGGTGTGTGCACCACAGGTTAAGAAATACTGTTTTAAAAGGAATTGTATGAAAGATTTACATATGAACACACACACACACACATATATATATATATATATATATATATATATATAGAGAGAGAGAGAGAGAGTA